AATTAAATAATTTATTCAATATTAATTTTTAATATTATATATTAATCTATTAAGATAAATTAATTTAAATTAAGTTTAATATATAACAAATTTATTTTTTAATTCTGAAAACAATATTTCAAATTTCTAATGTTCGATTTGATATAACTTTTATGTAAAGATAGCTAAAAAGTTTAGAAATAATTGCTGCCACTTAAATTTATTTTTATTAATTTTAATTTTCGAATTTAATTAATTTTAAATATTCATATTTTTTATACAAATTATTAATATAATTAATTTTTAAATTATAATAAAATTTTATTTTATTTAATAATCTTTTATATATATTATTTATTTATTTAATTTTAAAATTAAAATTTAAATTCTATATTTTTTAAAACTTGCTTGAAATTTTAAGTAAATATTAAGTAAAATGTATTTAATTATTTAATCTTGTTTTTTCATAGCATTTATATAATTAACTATGATATAAATGTTTCAAAAACTTGATATAGATAAACTAAATGATATAATATAAATAATATTTCCTAGATCTTTTTGTTTTTCAAATTCCTATAATTCAAAGATAAAAATATTCATATATTTCATCCTGCAAATCATAATTTATTAGTAAAAGAAGATAATATGAAAATTGAATATGTATAATGATATCTTATATTTATTATATAAATAGGGTATTTATATCAATTATTGTGTTTCTAACTTACTTTTTTGTATTCATAATTAACAATCAATCAAATTATAGAAATAAATAAATAAATTGTATTTATTATTTATCAATTTATTTGTAATTATTTATTAATTTTTTATTTATTATTTATTTATTATTTATTTATTATTTATTTATTATCTATTTTTTAATTCTAAAAACAATATTTTAAATTTTTAATATTCGATTTGGCATAACTTTTATGTAAAGATAACTAAAAAGTTTAAAAATAATTCAGTAAACAGAACTTATATATATTATATTTCGATTTTTTTTTAAATAATTCAATATTAAAATCAATTTTAAATTTGCTTCTATTATTTGCTCTTGCTAAATGTAATCAAGTTTTTAATAATATGTTAATAACTATCACAAAAACTTTTAATAAGACATAACCTTACTTTATAACAAACGAACAATATGAAACATAATATCTAGTATAGAGCACAGTATTCAATTTTTTATATATATTTAGTATTCATATATACAATATATATTCAATAAAAGAATACAATAATTAAAACATAGGAATTAGTTTTTCGCTTTTTGAAAACAATATTTTCAAAACTTATTTTCTTTGTTTTCATAATAACTAGCTTATAATTTTTCTTATTTTCATTGTTATTTTAACATTTTATTTGCGAAAAAAATTTCTACTAATAAAAAAAATATTAAATTATACTTTGAATATATTGTAAAATAAAAATAAAATATAAAAGTTTTTGTTTATTTAAAAGACACAATAATTAATATAAATATTTAATGACATATACAACAAAATAATAATACAAATTCAAATCGAAGTAAACATACGTACAATTTGCATATCATATGAAGTTACACGTCAACGTTCACGATAAGGGTGGTCCATACTGCGCACCCATCAGTTCCTATCCTTTTTTCGTATCAGTCTGTTTCATGGAATCGATAAACTGGAAGGCAATTCCGTTATTCTGTATGGGTATATTTTGTATGAAATATAACATTGTAAATACTATTATATAGATTATTCTTTTCTCACAAACACTACCGGTTTGAACTAATTTTGTTCTTGATGTAATTTTTATTGATACTCATCCAATTCAATTGATTACACTAATATCACTGTTAATAAGCATTATCCTTTTCTAAACTCCGAAAAATCTTCTGTTCTTTCTATAAATATTTTCCTTTTATTTTGTTTTGTAACTTGTTCGAAAGATAATTATTTTTATATTCATTGATATATTAGACACAATCATGAAATACATGAATACTCGAAATGAAAATAATTTTATTATATAAGATGAATGATGTATTGTTGTTTAAGGTTTTATTTAAGATTTTTTAACGTTATTCACAGAACATTTTTGCTCGTCACTGCATGCATACGTCTATCTTTGTACGTAGCCGAACAGGGTGGTCGCGCGCATGCGTATTATATAATTAAAGTTATATATATAATATCTGATAAATATTTTACTAAAAATGTTAAGAAATTTATTGTTTGCGAATTATTATAAATTTCTTTTTTGAAATTATTGTATGACTTATTATTTTTTATATTTTTGCTTTAGTAGCAGAAAGACAATTTATGTTTTAAAAATGTCCAAAAAATTGCCGCAAAGTTTAAATGATTTTCAAATATTTTATTATATTATAAATCAAAATATCTAAATTGAAACAATTTGATATTAACCAAGCATTGATATAAGAAGTGCGAAAATGATATTATTATGATATCCTTAAGAAACAATTATTATAATTATCTCATAACAAAAGAAAACACACAAATTATGTTACCTTGTAAGTTGTAATTATTAAAAATTTATTTCTATAAATATATTTAAAAATTTTTTATATAATATTTTAAAAATTTATCTTTTATGATCTTGAACATTTTAAATTATTCTAAACTTAGGAATTATGATTATATTATTTTTTAATTGATGATGAAAAACGAAATATTTTATTGAATTTTAATTCTTTATATTAAAACAGAAATAAAAATAAAATATAATAAATATAAAATTAAAATACAACATGTATATATATATATATATATATATATATTTACAATATAAATCGTATATATTTATAC